GCGCAGAACCCGTGCCCCACCGGCACCCTTCTTCCAAGACCACCCACGCCTGACTTTTTTTCAGTTCCACAATCTATTCACCTCTTCCCCTAGAGCAGGGGTGGGCAATTAATTTCTATAGGGGGCCACATGAAAAATCTGAACTGTGTTCAGGGGCCGAACGAACTTTACTTAAAAATAAAATGAAACAGTGATGTTACAATTGTTTTTATTTTAAACTTTTTAATCTTCACAAATACTAAAGGGATTTTTTGTGGTTTGTTAAAGATAAGCAATTTATCAACTTTAGACAAAAATCTATAAATGGCTTTGATGTCCAGCGGGCCAGACAGGAGCGGCTCGTAGGCCGCATGTGGCCCTCTGCCCAGGTCTGCCCTAGCGGAAAAAGAGGTCCAGTTCTTGAGTTTAAAAGACTGCATAAACATGCATGAAAAGACGAGAACTTTCCTCCATTCCAGCCTACTCATGGGTCCTCCCTCTCAAGTCTTCCTACTTCCATATACTGTACTCAATAAGTAGATTTGCCTCCAGGTTTAAAAAAAAGTATCTGGGTGAAAGACTTGTAGAGATGCTGCTGCTTGGCTCAGGAACTTAATTAACCCCTAACCCACTTAATTAATCCACTTGGGCTCCATGATTACTGCAGATGGTGACATCAACCACAAAATTAAAGGATGCCTGTTTCTTGGGAGGAAAGCAATGACAACCCTAGACAGCATCTTAAAAAGCTGAGATCTCACCTTGCCAACAAAGGTCCACATAGTCAAAGCTTTGGTTTTTCCAGTAGCGATGTATGGAAGTGAGAGCTGGACCATAAAGAAGGCTGAACGCCTAAGAATTGATGCTTTTGAATTGTGGTGCTAGAGGAGACTCTTGAGAGTCCCCTGGACTGCAATGAGAGCAAACCTATCCATTTTGAGCGTTCACTGGAAGGACAGATCCTGAAGCGGAGGCTCCAATACTTTGGCCATCTCATGAGAAGAGAAGACTCCCTGGAAAAGAGCCTGATGTTTCGAAAGTGTGAAGGCAAGAGGAGAAGGGGACGACAGAGGACAAGATGTTTGGAAAGTGTCATCGAAGCTACCAACATGAATTTGACCAAACTCCGGGAGGCAGTGGAAGACAGGAGGGCCTGGAGTGCTCTGGTCCATGAGGTCACGAAGAGTTGGACACGACATAACAACTAAACAACAACAAACCCACTTCTCTAAACAATCAAAACAAAAACAACAAAACAATTTTTAAAGAGAGGAAACACAAGACTGCAGTGGTACCTTAAACTTAAAGGCTAATGTTTATATTCCAACTTGTATCTGACAAAGTGGATTAATCCATAAAAACTCACACTGGAATATAAAAGTTAGCCTTTAAGCTGCCACATGTTTTTCTGTCTCACATTTTCATTTTGCTTTTTTTTTCTTTTGGCTCTGTCTGTCTTTGCTTGCACAGGTTACTCCTCTGAAATCTGGACAACCAGCCTTTTGGTCTCAAGAGCCAGGGTGCAAAAATTCCAAACCTTGGTACAGATACAGCAGAGGCCCAGCTTCACAAGAAGCGTGGACCATCTCTCGCACATATACAACATAATTTCTCGACAGTTTTTCAGCACCATCCTTCAAGGGGGGGTATGCTTACAACTTGAGGAAGTGGATTTCATCCACGAGAGCTTGCTCTTTATTTTTTAGTGGGCCAATAAAAGATATCACCTTGCATTTGTGTCATCTTTGGGACCACACTGGCCCTTTCCTTTCCAGTTCAGCACTTCTTTGTCTTTCTCCTCCACTCAACTTCCCAGGCGCAGCTCTCGACTGTACTGTTACGTTTGGGAAAGGCGGGAGACCGGCGGGCCAGCCCTCAGCAGCAAGAGGAGGGCTCTCGCGGCCTGTCAATCCGGTCGTATCCCCGCCTGGTCCCTCAGAGTTGGTTGGAAACCCTCCGCACTCCCTTCTTCTATCCCAACCCCCGCGCCGCGCCTCCCTTTTGCTACGTGGTGCCCGCGCTGCGTGTCCAAGCTAGGAAAGATGTGGAGCCGCCGGGGGCTGCTTTGGGCCGCGCTGTGCGTCCTGGTGGCCCCAGGAACGCGGGCGCAGTACGAGCGCTACAGCTTCAGGAGTTTCCCGCGGGACGAGCTGATGCCCTTGGAGTCCGCCTATCGCTATGGCCTGGACCAGTACACCAACGAGAACTGGCCCGAGAGCGTCCACTACCTGGAGGTGAGCCTGAGGCTCTACCGCCTCCTGCGGGATAGCGAGGCCTTCTGCCACCTCAACTGCAGCTCCGTTCGCATGGAGGAAGAGGCCCCCCGGGAGGCCGCCGCCGCCACCGGTGGGGGCAGCCCGGACACCCCCGAGCTCCTGAACCCCGACCGTTTCGACGGCTTCCCGGAGCTACGCTACTTCGGGGACACGCTGCGCCGAGCGCAGTGCCTCAAGCGCTGCAAGCAAGGGCTGCCGGCTTTCCGCCAGTCGCAGCCCAGCCGGGAGGTGCTGGAGGAATTCCGGCGCCGCGAGCCCTACAAGTTTCTGCAGTTCGCCTACTTCAAGGTCGGTCCTCCTCCGCCGCCGCCGCTCGCTCCTCTCGGCCTCCTCTTCTTCCCCCTCTGCCCCGACAGACCAGCCCTTCCCAGCCCTTTTCTTAAACTCCTATCAGGCTGTTTTCTTGCTTTCTTCGGTTTATTAACTATATAATAGAATTAGTGCCCTTTTTAAAAAAATGGACATAGCCTCTGGGCTGTTTAAACATCTACAGAACAGGCAAATATCGACCGGTGAAGTTTCTTCAGCGCTACATCTGATGCTGCGGAAACGGTCGAATGACCCAATGGTATACAAAGAAGGAAATCACCTTTATTTTACTTATTTGCTTTTAGTTAGGTGGTCAGGGATACTCACTCTTTCTTTCCTGCCACATGTTGGTATTTTTCTCTCGCTTATAGATAACACTGTTCATCTCAGTGTTATCTATTACAGTATTGCGGACTAGAGTGCTCACAACTGCCACATGTTGGTATTTTTCTCTCGCTTCAAGATACTGTTCAGCTCAGTGTTATCTATTATTATGGACTAGAGTGCTCACAGCTTTTTGCACACTTCTGTCATCTGGCCTTATGAATCAGAAACTGAAATACAGATATTTTTACCTTCTTTCAGTCTGTTACCTCAAACTCTGTTGTTTGCTTCAGTATGCCTTATTGCTTATTTTCTTCTGCTCAGTGCAGCATAGTGTCAGATATTCTCCCTTTCTACCTACATGAGGAGTGAGGAAGCATCAACCTTCCAAATGTTCATCAGCTCTTCATCCTATCATACTTCACTGTTGGTGAGACTAGCTGAAGCTGATAGGAATTGAAGCTCATTGAAATGGAGGGTCACAAGTTCCTTTGCAGATTTGTTTGTTGTATTGTTATGTTTAGACATAAATGTGTGGGACATTTTTAGTTTTGTTGTTTACATAAATTTTCTGTAATTGGAAGTTTTTCGTTGACAAAAATGAGCATTCAGATTTGTGCATAGCAATTCTCCAAGGGAAAATATATAGAATATAATTTTGAAAAGTGGGTTTCTAATATATGCTTTTAAAATCCTTTTTGACTAGGCAAATAATCTTCCCAAAGCCATTGCAGCAGCACACACATTTCTTCTGAAACACCCTGACGATGACATGATGAAGAGAAATATGGCATACTATAAAAGTATGCCTGATGCTGAAGACTACATTAAAGATTTAGAAACAAAATCATATGAGGTATATTTTCCGTCTTATTTATGTTTTAGAAAATCTTGGATTGATTGGATTAATTAATTTTTCGGGGGGAAGCAAACGGTTGGATACCGTGTTTCCCCGAAAATAAGACAGGGTCTTATTTTTTGCTCCAAAAAACGCATTAGGGCTTATTTTCAGGGGATTTTTTTTTCATGTACAGCAATCTACATTTATTCAAATACAGTCGTGTCATCATCTTCTGGTTGCTGTACAATGGTGGAGGGGGGTTTCACTTAACTGGGGCTTATTTTTGGGGTAGGGCTTATATTACAAGCATCCTGAAAAATTATACTAGGGCTAATTTTCAGCTTAGGTCTTATATTCGGGGAAACAGGGCATTGGTCCATAAGAACGAAGCAAAACAAAATCCACAGGCAGGCAATACTTAGGACCAATTGAAATGTCTTAAAACTATACAGGATATTGAGTTCTCTCGAACTCTCCATTTAGCTGAACAGTATAAACAAAGTAGAACTATGAGGAAGAAGCAGGAAAGTCTAGGAACATGTACCCCTTTGCATTCAGTGAGTATAGGAACATGTGAGCAGATAAGGCTAAGAAAAACTGGAATAACTTTAGAGCTTCACATAACTATACCTTGATTGTGCCACAAAACACAGGTTTTGATTCTGCTTACTAGTTTATTGAACTACAGTGGTGCCTCGCTTGACGACGTTAATTCGTTCCAGTGTAATCGCTGTACAGCAAAAATGTAAAGCGAAATAAAAAAGCCCATTGAAATGCATTGAAAACCGTTCAATGTGTCCCAGTGGGCTGAAAACTCGCCGTCCAGCGAAGATCCTCCATGGGGTGGCCACTTTCAGTGCCTGTGCAGTGAGGAATCCATCCCTAAGCACAGCGGGGGGCATTTTCTTCAGCTGGCGGCCATTTTGAAACCCGATGATCAGCTATTTTTGATCATCGTAACGCGAAAATTGGTTCCCAAAGCAGGGAACTAATCATCACAAAGCAGAAAAACCCCATTCAAACTATCGTTTTGTGATTATGGGGTGGCCACTTTCAGTGCCTGTGCAGTGAGGAATCCATCCCTAAGCACAGCGGGGGGCATTTTCTTCAGCTGGCGGCCATTTTGAAACCCGATGATCAGCTATTTTTGATCATCGTAACGCGAAAATTGGTTCCCAAAGCAGGGAACTAATCATCACAAAGCAGAAAAACCTCATTCAAACCATCATTTTGTGATTGTCGTCTAGCAAAAAAACAGTTCCTGAAGCAGGGAACTAATCATTATAAAGCGGATTTTCCCCATTGGAACCATCGCTATAGAGATCGCAAAAAAGTCATTGTGCAGCGATTTTGTCATGCAGCAGGGTCGTCGTAATGCGGGGCACCACTGTATTGTGATAATATGGTTGAAACAAGACAGGATATAGGCCCCAAAGCTCTGCTGACATCAAGTAAGTATCTCCAGGCACAAAACAAAAAAATAGTAATTTCACAGCTAAATGAATGAGCTTCTGAATATTCATTCTCAATTTTTAAAAAAATATCCTTCAAAATCTGTTTACAACCAGACACAGAATCCATTTGCAAACACAAATACCTGTTTGGTCAGGAAGAAGTTAAAAATTTAATTGGGTCCTGATTGACAGGTTCAAAAGTTCAGATTGCCCCAGACCTGGAGCTGACCTCCGCTTTGAATACTTGTGTTGGGAACATGGTCTCAGAAATCCTGAGAGAATGTTTACTGAAATCACTGAGGGGTGGGACAAACACAACTGTTTTGTCCTTTTGTAACGCAGAAATACTTGGAATATGCCTTAGAAAATTGTACACTAATTCCTTGGAGATACATGGCGAAATGTCCCCCATTCTGGAGGATTGTCACTTCATTTTTTTCTTTAAAGCAAGCCTGTTTTTTCCTTCTTCAAAGAAAATGGCTTTTCTGTGACCGTTAATAATTACCCTAAGCCAGAGGTCATCAAACCCCAGTCTGCAGCCCAGTGCCGGTCCGTGGCCTGAGCCAGAAAGGGCCGTGGAGACAGACTTCCCCCCTGCACACACTCCTCTCCCCACAGCTGCTTTGTGCACACACACACAAACACGTACCTGCTTTGTGCACACACACACACGTGCCAGCGCTCCGCCACCCCTTCATGCATGTGCTCAAGCGCCTGTGTGAAGGGGTGGGTGGTTGCGTGCCCACCCCTTCACGCATGTGCCCAAGCACCTGCGTAAAGGAGTGGGTGGTTGCGTAGGTGGGCATGCAGGGACTTGTGCACATGCGCGAAGGGGTCGGGGAGTGCTCACGCTGGTAGGTGCAGGCGCACTCCCCCAGTGCTCCACGCATGGGCCCAAGAGTGGGCACACCAGCGCGAATGTGGGGAGTGCCCCGCCTTCCTCAGAGGCTCAACCGGTCCGCGGTCCTGAAAAGGTTGGGGACCGCTGCCCTAAGTTATCTAAATATTTCCCTTCGTTACTCATGAAGCTACAATAATGTATCTACTTCACAAAGGTCTTGTTGGGAAGCCTGTTCTACACATGTTCAGTGTGATAAGAAATCTCTTTTGAAATACCTTTTTTGAAGACCAATAATTTGGCATGGATTCTTTCCAAATTAAAAGAAAATCAGGCAGAGCCAACTATTCTCTTTGAAGATGAGCAAGATTCATCTTTTTAATTTATATGATCTGTTTTAAACCCAGGGTTGTTTATGGTTGTCTATATATGAACAGGAGGGAGAACAGTTTTACTTTTATCACAACTCAAAAACTGTTTGCCCAAACGCCCCCAGATTTGGCACAGAGCAAGAGTAGATTGTCTGCTACATCTATGACAACTATTGGTGCTGATCTGAAGCCATGTTTAAAAGTTAGATTTTTTGTTTGTTTGTTTGGGTGGCTTCGTTTTTAAAATTGCCTTATACAATCTTGATTTTCTCTGCCAGCACAAAATAATTATATTGTGCAGCAATAATAAGAGAAAAGAGATGTGTATCAACAAAGGGCCTAACATTACCTGCTTCCAGAGCAAAATCAGGGATACTGAGTGAAACATTCCTGTATGTTTCACCACTGATAACAATTTTTATTAAGCTAATCTAAGAGAAATTATGATACTTTCTTACAAATCTTTCTGTCCTCCTCAGAATCTCTTTGTCAGGGCAGTTAGGGCATACAATGGAGAAAACTGGAAGACTTCCATCACAGACATGGAGCTGGCACTTCCTGATTTCTATAAAGCCTATGATGATTGCATAGCTGCCTGTGAAGGTCCACGGGAGATCAAAGATTTTAAAGAGTTCTATCTGTCTATAGCAGGTGAGTGATGACCTGCATTCCAAAGTTAAGTTTTCCTTTTTGCTAACATTAACTGTTAATCTGTACCTTTAAACAGTAAGGAGGGAATTCAGAGAGAGAACAAAAGGCTTAACATACTGAATGATGTAAGATGTACTTGCTGGTTGTCCAGCCGCATATTGTAGATGAGCAACCTGTTGTTTAAAGAATAAACTAAGAAATTTGGTTACAGAGATGGTATCAGAGTTTGGAAATACAGTGGTGCCTTACTTAATAGGCACCCCGTTTAACGACAAAATCGCATAGTGATGAAGATTTTGCGATTGCAAAAGCGATCACATTGTGATGTTTTGAATGGGGAAAAATCGCTTTGCGATGATCAGTACCGTGTTTCGCTTACTGATCATCGCAAAGCGATTATTTTTTTAACAGCTGATCGGCGGTTCCAAAATGGCCACCGGGTAAAAAAATGGCCACCCGCTGTGTTTAGGGACGGATTCCTCGCATAAGAGGCAGCGAAAATGGCCGCCGTATGGAGGATCTTCGCTTTAAGATGAGTTTTAAGCCCATAGGAATGCATTGAAGGGGGTTCAATGGATTCTTATGGGCTTTTTAATATCGCATAGTGACAAAATCGCTTTGCAGTGATTTTTGCTGCACCAATTATTGTCGCTATTCGAGGCACCACTTTATATTAAATAAGAGCACAAAATCAAATTTAGATCAAGATGGAAAATAATTACACTTCATTTGACAACCTTTAGCTAAATAAATCATAATAAACATTAAATCACCTCTTTAGTATAATGAGATGTGGAATCTAGCATTTAACAATAAATTAAATTATGAATTGAAAGTCAGAAAAAGATTATTGAAGAAAAATCGTTTTAATGGGATTTGGAACCCTTACTTAGAATACAAAACAGATGGTGGTGGGTTACACTGTATATTTGAGCTGTTATTTCATTTGTTGTTTATGTTTTTGTTCTATTTTGTTATATTAATTTAAAATGTGGGGGGAAAATCACATCTTTAGTAATTGCTTCTCTTCTCCATCCGGCTCTTCTTCCTCTTTTTTTTAACATACCATATTGCATGTATTCTAGTAAGAGTCTCTCAGTACCTGTAGGTGGTGCTAGAAACAAGGATAGTGTTGGTTGTTGTGGGTTTTTTGCGCTCTTTGGCCTATCCAAACAAACTGCACCAGAGCACAGACAGAGTTCTGATTCCTGTCCTCTGAAGATGCTGGCCACAGAGACTGGGGAAACATTAGGAAGAACAACCTTCAGAACACAGCTAAAGAGAACCATCAGATCCCGGCCATGAAAGCTTTCGAGAAGGACAGTGTTACTAAGAATATATTTTTTTAATTTTTTATTTTTTAACAAGAGGGGTGACAGAAAGGAAAAGGGGAGTTGAGGTTAAAGGGGGAAAAGAGAAACAATCACATACTAACATCCATTCTATACCTATTGCTATATCAAAATTCCACATTGCTCTATTTACTCTTTTCTGCCTTCTAGGTTTAAGTTCATATTTCAATATATGCTATTCATATTGATTTAGTCCACTTAAAAATAAGTCCCATCTTTCTGTTGCCTTTTGTAAAGGACAGTCCTTCATTACTTCTGATAAAATGTCCATTTCCACTATTTCCCGTATCTTCTCAATGAGATCTTCTTGTTTCGGTATCGTCGGACTTTTCCAATTTTTGGAATTGGAGAATTCTTGCTGCAGTAACAATGTATATAGTGTTACTAAGAATATTTTTTTAAAGTGGGTTTGCTCTCACTCCCTGCTTGTGTATCTCATTGTGTTTAGAGCAGGGGTAGGAAACTGAAATTATCTCAGCCTTGGCTGAATTGACTAGATACTGGTTTAACTTAATAGGAGTTGCAATCCAACCACATCCAGAGGGCTACAACAAGATTCGCATCCCTAATTGAGAGCTGCAAAACTAAAATTTAGGTATTGGTTTCTACAATTGAAGTTCTGGCTATTAAAATGAATTAAAGAAATAACTGTGTAATGCTCACAGCATGATGTGTGTGTATTTTTTAAGATCACTACACTGAAGTTCTTGAGTGCAAACTGAAATGTGAAAGTGATCTGACACCTGTCATAGGAGGCTACATCGTGGAGAAATTCGTGGCAACTATGTACCATTACTTACAGTATGCCTACTATAAGTGTAAGTAAGGGACTTTTTCCCCTAAAATGTAGTATTAATTCTCTCTTATAAAGATTGTTATCTATTTCATTTTGGTTTGGTATGTCTAAAATCTCAATTTGTCAGAGAAGAAAATCCTAATCCTGCCTTTCAGCTGAGTAGTCGGCAGCATCAAGACAATAAAATGGTTTCCCATCTTGAGCATCCTCATCCTCCTCAATTTATCCTGCCTGTACTAGTAGATTTGCTTCTATTTTGGGGGAAAAAATCCCAATCATATAATTTTGTAAAATGCACAGTTCCCCATTCCTTGCACACAGAGACAATCTACAGTTATGCAACTATGGTAATCGGTGCTAATTAGCTTCGACTACATATTAAAATGGTATCCTCACCAGTATATGAAAAGATAGGAGGTAGATGGGCAATTTGGGAGGAGAAGAAAGAAGACATATATCTGCATTCTGATTTTGAGGTCTATATGTGGAGTTCGTGTTTTGTAATATTATATGAATATATATGTCAAGACTGAAATTTAGAAATACACATATGCATGTATGTGGATGTGTCAACATTCAAAGCATAACCTTTGAGTTCATATGTTAGAACTATTTAATAACTTTTTTCTGAAGGGTTGACCTTTTTAAAAATATTAATTTAGTGAATGATATGAAGAACGCAGCACCCTGTGTTGCAAGCTACATGCTCTTCGACCAGAAGGATGAAGTAATGAAACAGAATCTGGTGTATTACCAATACCATAAAGACAAATGGGGGCTCACAGATGAAGACTTTCAGCCTAGACCTGTAAGTTAAATGTTGGTCTTTCATACTCCATAGTAGTACATGTAAGATCAGTCTTGCAACTTTGAAAGCTGAACACACAGAGGTTTGTAGTAAACAAAATGCACATACCTCCATGTTTCTCTTCAGCAGAAAGGTCATAAGAAGAGTTTCCAAATATGTTTTGTCCAATGCACTTAGAAGCTTGCTTCCTATTAGGAACTTGTTCTCTAATCTGGGTTCTTACAACAGGGTTTCTAAGTGCGTTCAGTCAAACACAGAAACTCTCTTGAGAGCTTTATAGGAAATATGTCAACAACTGAGATGTCAATTTATGCATAGATGGTGGGGCTGAGTCTTGCGTATTATAGGCCCCTGAACTGTATTCATCTTTCACCCTCATGTGTTCATGTAAACACTTGAATGCTGCACACAGTAATGAAGCGTTGACATTTGGAGATAACATGCTCCCCATGGTGACTTTGCCACTGCCCTCTAGAAAACAGGAGGATGAACCTGCCTTCGTCCTGAATTTGGAGCTGTACATATGTTGATCGTACAAATTAATAAGTGTACATGTCTGGAATTGTCCCAGCACTTCCAAGGAATTTCTTGTCCCCTCTGCAGCCCCAAGACTTGGGAAAAGGCTGCAGTTCCCTTGGTTTCTCAGAGGGAAGATGCACAGCAAGCCCTTGGTATCTTTTCCCATAGAAGAATTTGATGGAGGATTTGGTGAAGAGAAACTCAATATACTTCACCTTTGAGCATCCACTGACCTTTTCTGGAAGAACACCAGCAGGAATATTCTTTTTCCTTTCAGAGAGGCTGTATTGGAGTTGGGAGAAAACAACAGTCATATTTTTTTAAACTTGGAAGCCAAGTTATATGTTTCTTTTGGAGGGGGGAGCAAGATTGTAGACCCTTGTGGTATAAGGGCGATAGAAGTACTAGATCAGCAAACTTTTTTTCACACTTGTAAGGCAGGAATAATATTGAATGTTTAAATATATTGTTTTGCTTTGCCCTTTTAGGAAGCAGTTCGGTACTACAACATAACAACTCTTCAAAAAGAAATGTATGAGTTTGCTAAAGAACATGTGATGGATGATGATGAAGTAAGTAAACAAGACTAATACCATTGTTTAAGTTTAAATTAATCACATTTAGGTATACAAATACAATGTGTTAGGAGGGTTGCCACCATTTTCCCTGGCTCTGCATACGGTAATTTGACTCACAGAAATTGATGAGGCAAAGATTCTGCCATCTCACCTTGTAAGGAAAGGTTTCTCCTGCTAGGCTGCTGTTCAAGGTACAAAAGCAGGGTCAGAAAGCAAGAGGACTCTTTAGTAAACATGTAGCTAAATTTAAGCAACATCCTGGGTTTTTTAACAGAATGGAAAACTGACAAAGGGCTATGTAATTCTATTATGCAAAGCATTGATGGTGTGCTGGAATTTGCTAGCAAAGAGTTTTTCCATCTGTTACTCCTTTCCCTCGTGGTCTTTGTAGAGTGTTCTCCTATTGCAAAGCAAGAAAAACTCCAGTTTTGAAACAGGTGGCCGTTAAAGCAAATGGCCCAAACCATGCTAAAACCTCTTGTGGTGATGGTGGTGGGGTGTCAGAATCTCATGACCACAATTTTCTCAGTATATAACTCTTTGTTACATTTTTGCACATATCCTTGAAGTAGCCTTTTTGTCATGCCTTCCGCTTCTCTCAGTATCGATATTTCTGTGGCAAGGGCAAAACAATGGGCTAATGTGCTAATGGCGGCCTAATGGATGTACAGTCATGAAAAAGAAAGTACACCCTCTTTGAAATCTATGGTTTTACATACCAAGGGATAATAAAAATCATCTGATCATTAGCAGGTCTGAAAATTAAGTAAACACAACCTCAAATGATAACATATTACACCGTGCCATGATTTATTTAACAAAAATAAAGCCAAAATGTATGGAAAACGAAGTATACCCTTACTGCTTTCATAGGAATTAAGAGGCTAAATAGCAGCCAGGTTCTTTTATCTAAAACATACACGTTAAAATACACAAATCAAAATACAATATAGTGGTGCCTCACTTAGCGATTGCCTCATTTAATGATGTATTCGCTTAGTGATGAGGTTTTTGGAGCGATCTTGCACTCCGTTTAGCGATGTTTCCTATGGGGAAATTTCACATAGCGATGTTCGGGACCTTGCGTCGCTTAGCGATGACAGTTTAGGTCCCCCTGTTTTGCTTAGCGATGTCCGTTTTCGCTATTTTAAGTGCGTCTTAATATGTTCAAAAACTGTTTAAAATGCTTGGAATCAGTGCACCTTGTAAAACCTTTGCAAACTTAATTTGGCTTTGTTCTGAGTCTTCGTTAATTTTTTGTCTAAACTTACAGTTCAATACATTCCAATGGGGGGAAAATTCACCAAAAATTAACTAGACATGAACCAAAATTTAAACCCCCAAAGTACCAAGCTACAATGCAATTGTTGTATCTGCAGCCTGATGGCCTAATTCCCACAGATTTACGCCAGCTAGTCAAACACAAACACTTCCAGGTCCCGGGGCAGTTTCAGAGGATCTACTTTGGCCAAATAGGCCTGAATCGAGGATCAAAACCCCCAAATATCACAGTCCAATCCAGTGTTTGTATCCATGTCCTGGTAGCCTAGTTCCCACAATTCTGCATCGGCCAAAACTGAAATTCCAAGTCCCTGGAGGTGGTTCCAAAAAGTTCACTTTGGCCCAGTATACTGATTCCCAAAGTACAGTTTAAAAAGATCCACTTTAGGGTTAATTTGTCTATGTTCCAGCCAGGCATGAAAAAATTAAAAAGAAATAAAAAACAGTTTCCAAGCTTTAAACAGCAGTAGAGTGCTCAAGGTCACTGTTCTGGGCATTATGTCAAAAGACTTCAGGTAGGCAAAATATGAGAAGATAACTCCAGACTTAACTAGTAATAGCTTACAAGAAGGTTTCTTCAGATTTATAACGCCAAATTATAATATTCTTAAAATATATTTTAAATGTATTTAAATCAGTAGTTAATGTCCCATTAATCTTTAAATTATTTTCTTTGCATCAACTATCCCTCTCTCCAGATTTTCTGCCGCTCTATGAATGATGAGATTGATAGAAGATTCTTTTTTCTGTATATAGGAATTGTCTTCTCCAGGGGTAATCATAAGCAATTGGTTGTAAAAATATATCTCACCCAACTGCTTGTTTCTGCCCGTTGGCTGATTCGGGAATTTCCTGAATCAAATGGGGATGACTGCCGCCCCCCGTGATCAACAGGCTTCCCCCCCCCCAATTCACCACCTCTTTAGGGTGGTTTCGACACCGTGGGGTGTCCCAAACAGGTCAGAATTCAGCCCAGGGGACAGAGCTCCATCCTCCTTTTGCTGTCCCGTCGTGGCGTCAAGCCGGTCTCCAGACCAGATGATTTTTATTATGTCCTGATATGTAAAACCAGAGAATTCAAAGAGTATGTGCTTTCTTTTTCACACAACTGTACATTATATCCAGAGGATCAAGCCCTGCTGTCAAATAGGTAATGTTCAGTTTTTTTAGAAGCAAGTCAATGAGTGACTGGAGGAGGAGGACAAGAACTTTCTAGCAGTCCCAAAAGAATGGGAGAAAGGAAAGACAGCAACCTGGAAATGAAAGAGAAAGATTATGTAGTACAGCGTTCCCCAACCTTTTGGACTGGTGGAGCCTCTGAGGGAGGTGGGGCGGCCCTTCGTGCTTGCGCTCTACGATGCATGTGCAAAGTGGTTGGAGAGCATGGCGCCATAGGCATGTGTGTGTTCCCTCACCGTGCATGCACATGCTTGAAGGGGCGAGGGAATGCGTACCAGCAGTGGCGGTGGAGGCCTGGGAGTCTTTTTTTTTATTTTTATTTTACTAAACATTTTTTGTTTTACTCCTCGCCACCCTCCGCGAGAAATTCAAATGCAGCCATAGGTGCCGGTTCCAGAGCTGGAGGCACCGCCGGCGGCATCGGCCTGCTGAAGGCGGCGAGGAGCGTCTACCCCAGCCTCGTTGGAGCCTGCCAGGAGGAGAGAAGCCAGAGCACCCGGCTCTTGCCCTGCCTCCTGGTTCCTGCCCACCCCTGCCAGTTGCCGTTGCTGGGCGCAAAGGCAGACCTGCCCCCCCTTCACTCCCCTCCCCATAGCTGCTTTGCGCGCAGGGACGCTTGCGTGAAAGGGTGAGGGAGCGCTCACGCCGGCGCTGGCACGCGCGTGTGCAGTGCAGCTGTGGGGAGGGGAGTGCGTGGGGGCAGGGGGAGGTCTGCCTTTGCCACGGACTGGCAATGAGCTGCGGACCGGGGGTTGACAACCTCTGCCTTAGCAGATTTAACCCTCTGTCCTCTTGTGATTGTGGACGTGGTGGCACTGCGGACTAAACCGCAGAAGCCTGTGCTGCAGTCGTAAGATCGAATCCACGCGATGGAGTGAGCGCCCGTCGCTTGTCCCAGCTCCCGCCAACCTAGCGGTTCGAAAGGATGCAAATGCAAGTAGATAAATAGGGACCACCTCGGTGGGAAGGTAACGGCGTTCCGTGTCTAAGTCGCACTGGCCATGTGACCACGGAAGATTGTCTTTGGACAAAACGCTGGCTCTATGGCTTGGAAATGGGGATGAGCACCGCCCCCTAGAGTCGAATACGACTGGACAAAAATTGCCAAGGGGAACCTTTACCTTTACCTTTTACCTCTTGTGATTGAAGCCAAAAGTGGGAGGGAACTATGCAGGAATACCAGTATAAGATTATTAGAGATAGCCATGTTAGTTTGCTGCAGCAGAAACAACAGAGTCTTTTAGTTCCCTTAAAAACTAACAAGTTTTATTTGGCTGACCATGCTGACTGAAGGAGCTTGGAAGCAGGAATCCAAAAAGCCAGTAACTTTCCAAAGTTCTGGATCTATGATGTTGGGGATGCCGAAAAGAAGGACCTTAAAAGGTGAAGCTAAGAATCAGATAGATTTTTATATATTTAATAAACCCAGATATGAGGGCCTACTTTTTCTCATTCCTTTATAAGAGTTTTATGCACTTTTTTGTTATATTCTGCTTTCCAGAGTGTTGCAGGAATTGGAGCACCCTCATGTCTAAGTGGGATTATAATAACAGGTTTTTGCAGCCAATCAATAAGCTTTTGTCCTTCTTGTAACCTAGTTCCCAACTCCTGTTCTACACACAAATAATTTAAAAATCATTTCTCTGCTTGATGAGAGGAGACAACAGTTATATACAATCAAAGCAGATTGTGACAGATTAGTGTGCTATTAAAAAAACAAATAGCAGGAAGGAAGAAATGTCTTATATAGGCTTTCACTGCCCTTTATTGTTGCTTATAGCAAAAACAGCACTGGTCAAGGGCTCTGTTTTTATAGAGGTATACTAGCATTCCATACACCTGTCAAAAGTTAGCAAGGACACTGAGCATATTTGTGTCCTTTGTAAATACTCACATATTTAGGTCTCTGCGTGCAGGGCAAGTTGAGAAGAGACATTTTGCATTGAATTAGAACTTGTGAAGAATTTCTGATTGTTTGCAGTATGTTTATTTCAGTCACTGTTCTGCATTCCCAGGAAATTGGTGGTATCTCATCATAAAAGTAATAACGAAAAAATGACAACAGCCCTTCATTTTTGATGGACAAATATTTATCTTATTGCCATTATTGTTGAATGCCAAAAACACGTTTCCTAGGCACACCAGATATAATATAAAGATAAACGGAGGAAAACTTCTAAAAATATAATTCTCAGCTACAGCAAAATAAACCTGCATGTATGTTGGGAAAACAGTGCCAGAAGCAGAGCCAGCTCTTAGGTTTGACATAAACCTGCCATTAAAACAGTTGCCTTCTATTTTTAGTAGTTAGGCAGTTTTACCCATATTTTGTTATTATTTCCGTTTTCCTTTACTTGCTGACTGCAACAGATAAGAATGTGTGAGGGGATGACATAGATAAACCTACCTAGATGTCTTGGGAATATCTTAGGGATAAAGAGGTAAACTTGATCAGGGCTTCACTACATTTTATCTTAGCCAAAAGGCTAGAAAGTGATAAATACTTAGAAATAGTCTTCCATGCAACTGGCTGC